GGGAATGCGGGGAGGGGGAATGCGGGAGGGGGAATGTGGGGATCTGGGCAAGGGGGGCTGTGTTAAGGGGCCAGGGGGGGAGGCGGGGGAACATAAGGTTGGCCGTGGGGGCATTCAACAATGAGAAAGCTAACGGCATGAAACCACATGAAAGGCGGTTCTCGAGGCTCGTCGGGACTTACTAGACGGGCTGCAACATAACACAACTGTGCGGCACATGCATGCAGCCTGTCATGAAACTATATTTTACGCCTCCCAATCTACTCCTCCCCTCCACCCTCCCTCCCGCCTCCCCCTCCCCTCCCCCCCCCAACCCCCCGCCCCCCCCCTTGGTCCTCCATGTCCGTCCTATTTCCTTGTCTCAATTCTCGGATGAGTTCGTCCTGCACCCTCTGAAGTCGCTCGCATGTGCATAACCCTCCCTCCATCCCTCCAACCCTCCTCATCCCCGTCCCCCGTCCCCTTCCACCCGCTCTCCCCCCCATTCCCCACCCTCTCCCCCCCCATTCCCCCCCGGGGCAGGCGGAGGCAGCGGATCGCAGTCTGAATGCGGCGACAGCGGACATCAGGCGCCTGGAAGCGCTGCTCGAGGTCAGCTGCTGCCCTTGCCGCTACGGCCTCCCCTGCCACCTCCCATCCCCGCTTGCCTCCCGTCCCTCCTGCTCTTCCCAACCCCAACCCACCAACAACCCCACCCACCAACAACCCCCACCCCTCTTCTGCTTTTCGTGTCTCACGGTTTCGTGATACTTTGGCTCTCACTCCCCCGCGCCTTCCCCAACTTTCTCTCCTTTCTCTTTTTTACCACCTCCCGCCTGTTCCTCACGATATCTCCCTGCCCCTTCCTCTTGTGTCGTCCCTCGCTGGACGCCATTCGTTCCGACTGTACATCTCCTGGGAAAACTTGGCTCACGTCCTCGCGACCCCTTCTGCTCCTGCGTGCGTGCTGTTACTCTCTCCTCCCTGTTCTGCCTGCCCTGCTCCCCCTGCCCCGCTCTCTCTCCCCTGCTCTCTCGCCTCCTCTCTCTCCTCCTCTCTCTCCCCTCCTCTCTCTCGCCTCCTCTCTCTCCCATCCTCTCCCCTCCTCTCTCTCCCTCCTCTCTCTCCCCTCCTCTCTCTCCCCTCCTCTCTCTCCCCTCCTCTCTCTCCCCTCCTCTCTCCCCTCCCTCCCTCCTCCCTCTCCCCTCCCTCCTCTCTCTCCCCTCCTCTCTCTCCCCTCCTCTCTCTCCCCTCCTCTCTCTCCCCTCCTCTCTCCCCCTCCTCTCTCTCCCCTCCTCTCTCCCTCCTCTCTCTCCCCTCCTCTCTCTCCCTCCTGCCCCTCCCCTCCTCTCTCTCCCCTCCTCTCTCTCCGCTCCTCTCTCTCCCCTGCTCTCTCTCCCCTGCTCTCTCTCCCCTGCTCTCCCTCTCCCCTGCTCTCCCTCTCCCTGCTCCCCCCTCTCCCTGCGTCGCCTGTTGCTTGCTGTATCCCCGCCCCTACGATGCCCGGGAGCAGAAGAAGCAGAAGGAGATAGGCGAGCGGGAGGTGCTGTACAAGAGCTGCGAGAAGGCGCTGGGCGAGCTCGAGAGCAAGAACAGCGAGCTCAGGAGGTGAGACAGCGGGAGGAGATGGGATAGGCCGTGCTGAGTTTGCTTCTCAGTCTCCTGTTTCTGAGTCTGTTTCTCCTTATGCTCTGCGTGGGAGAGGTGAGAAGCACGGCCGTGCTGATTCTCTCTTCTCTCTTCTCTCGCCTTTTTCCTCCCACCCACGTCTGAGACGACTTGGTTATTGAGAACTCTCAAAAACCGACTCAAGCACGCCGTGCCAGGTCCTTTCTCCTTGCTCTCTTCTCTCGTCCACTTCTCCCAGTCCCTCGCCTTCAGCCTTCCCATCTGCCCCTTTTCCCTTTCCTCTCTTATCGCCTACGTAATTTTTTATTTCAAACCTGCTTTTGCCTATGCCCCTACCCTACAACCCCCCTTCCCATACCTCTCCCCGGCCCTCCCTCCCCGCCTCCTTCTCCGCCCCCCTCCCCCCTCTCCCCCGTCTCCCCCCCCACCCCGGGCCCCCGCGCAGTGAGGTGCGACGCCTGGAGAAGGCGGCGGAGGGCGCGCAGGCGGACGCGGAGCAGCTGCGCATGGGGCTGGAGGCGATGGAGCGCGAGGGGCGCAACCTCAAGAAGACCCTCTCCACGCTCACCAAGGAGCGCGACGCCCTTAAAGCCGGACTCGACCGCGCCATGCTGGAGCAGGAGCGGCTGCTTAAAGCCCTAACCATGAGCTGCAGCGAGCTGGAGGAGTTGAGGGAGGAGGTCGCAGGGATGAAGCGGCAGGAGGAGGAGCTTAGGCAGGAGGTGCAGGAGGAGCGGACGGAGAGGGAGAGGATCCAGGAGGATCTTCTGGTGGAGCTGGAGGAGGTGCGGCAGGCCAAGCGGGGGCTGGAGGAGAGCTTGAAGATGGCGGAGGACGAGCGGGATGAGCTGCGGGTTGCTGCGGGGAAGAACGGGGGTGGGGGAGAGGGAGGGGAGGGAGGGGGGTGTGGTGGTGGTGGTGGTGAAGGGTGGGAAAGGGAGGGCGGAGTGGGGAGGGGAGGGGAGGAGGGAGGGTTATGAGGACGAGGAGGAGGACGAGGAGAGTGGCTGGACGGATGGTAGTGCTGGTGCTGGCGGTGCTGGCGGTGCTGGCGGTGGTGGTGTGGTGGTGGTGGGGGGGGGGAGTGGAAGGACAAGGCGGAAGCGCTGATGCAGGTCCTGCGGGAGAAGGAAGCGCAGTGGGAGCTGGATTTGATGATCGAGCGCGGGGAGGTGGAGAAGATCCGCCAGAGGGAGCTGCAGAGAGAGGCAGAGAGGGAGACGGAGAGGCGGAGGGACCTTGAGCTGGTGAAAGAGAGAGAGGAGGAGATCAGGCGGCTGCTGGAGAGGGAGAAGGAGAGAGAGGTGCAGCTGCTGCAGGGGCAGGCGCGCGTGGGGGGGCGGAGAAGAAGCGAGAGGAGGAGAAGGTGAAGGAGAGGGAGAGGGACGTGCAGAGGGAGAGGGAGAAGCAGGCGGAGAGGGAGAGGGAGAGGAAGAGGCAGAGGGAGAGGGTGGAGGAGAGGGAGCGGGAGAGGCAGAGGGAGAAGGAGCGGGTTGAGGAGAGGATTCGGGAGGCGCAGAGGGAGAAGGAGAGGGCGGAGGAGAGGGAGAAGGAGAGGGATAGAGAGAGGAGAGGGCGGAGGAAAGAGAGAAGGAGAGGGTGAGGCAGAAGGAGAGGGAGCAGGAGAAGGCACGTGAGGCTAAGAGGGAGGCAGAGCGGAAAAGGGAGGCGGAGTGGGCGGAGCAGGTGCAGAGGGAGAGGGAGGCGGAAGCGCAGCAGCGCGCGGAGGAGCGGGAGAGGGAGTTGCGGAGGGAGCAGGAGCGGCAGGAGGAGAGGGAGGGAGAGGGTGCAGATCCAAGAGCTGGAGCGTCTATGGGAGAAGGAGCAGGCGGCGAACCGGGAGAGGGAGGAGATCCGCGGCGGGAGAGGCAGAGGGAGCGCGAGAAGGAGAGCGAGCGGCAGCACGAGAGGGAGATGGAGAAACAGCGGGAGAAGGAGCGGGAGAGGAGCGCGCGCGGAGCAGAGGCACGAGGAGGAGAGGGAGAAGGCGCGGGAGGAGATGAGGAAGCAGCAGGACGAGTGGCAGCAGGAGCGCGAGCAACTCACGGACGAACTACAGGGTCTGCACTCCCAGCTGCTGGCCGCCCGCAAGGAGCTGGACACCGTCCGCCAGCAGAGCAACGACCGCTGCAAGGCTCTGAACGGCGAGCTGGAGGAGCTTAAAACGCGGATGGTGGGGCTGGAGGCGGAGAACAAGAGGGTGAAGGCGGAGCGGGAGAGCATGGAGGGGGTGCTGGGGGGAGGCGGAGTACGAGAGAGACGCGTTCAAACTCGCGCTCGAGCACTCCAACCTGGAGCACAAGCTGCTCTCGCATGCGCTGGTCAGTTGCCTCGCCTGCACAGTCCACTCGTGTCTCTCTCGCTCCCTTTCTATCTCTGTCTCTTTGTCTCCTCTCTCTCATTCGCTCACTCTCTCGACCTGACCCTCTCTCTCTCGTGTCTGCCCTCTCTCTCGTGTCTGCCCACCTTTCGTGCTGTCCCTTCTCCACCATCTTCCCTCCTCCCACTCATGTCTGCCCGCCCCCCCGGCTCTTCCTCCCTGCCACCCCCCGTCCCCGCAAACAGAAGTCTAACGGGACGCACGCCATTCAGAACCTTCATGGCGAGCTCTCCGCTGCTCAGGTGCGCTGCCAAGAGTATACACACCTGTTTAGTTGTCGTAAGTATATAATACGGATTGCCGACTCGCCAATCTTGTAACGCCCTGTACTCTCCCCCACCCCCGCCCCGCCCCTCCCCACACTCCCTCCTTTCGCCCACTCACCCCACCACCTTTCCCTTTTCCTCGCTCTTCCCATTCGTTCTAGCTCCACGTGTTGACCCCACCTGCAAAAACCCATGGCTGCAAAGACGTAGCCTCTTCTCTAACGTCTTTCTCCTCTCCCCCTGCGCCCTCGCCCCGTGCGTGCAGGCGTCCGTGCGAGCACTGCAGTCCACGGTGGAAGTCATGCAGCAGCAGATGCGCAAGGTACGAACGAGGCTGATAGAGAGATGAAAGAAAATGATGAGGCTGATGAGGCTGATGAGGCTGATGAGGCTGATAGAGGACGAACGAATTATCCAAGGGGTGGGAGAGCACTGCAGTCCACAGTGGAGGTCGTACATCAGCAGATGAGGAAGGTGTGTCGTAGTCAGGTACGAGTGAGGAAACCTTGGAACCGTGGAAGTTCACGTGTGTGAGAGCACTGTAGGTAACACGCAGCAACAGCTGAGAGGAATTGAGTTGGTTTCGAGAAATTTCAAAAAACAAACTCGAGAGGAAGACTGAGGTTCTGTTTGAGGAGTAGTATCTGACTGCAGATAGTCGGACTACTATCAGTTCAGGAGTGTGTGCGCGTTAACACCTGCCCCTCCCCTGCCCTCCACTGCCCTCCCTTACCCTTTCCCCTGCCCTCCCTTACCTCCCCCACCCCCCCCCTGCAGTCATCGTCTGAGAGTGCATCGCTGTTGGAGGAGCTCACAGACCTCAAGGCCCTGCGACTCACAGAGGTGGCGCAGGTGAGACTCGACTATATTTTATCATGCATCATCTATCATGTATCATTTCCAACTGCGGCTTGTGGACCCGAAACCAAAAACTCCAAGCTCTACCCATTGCCAGTGTGCTCGAAGAGGATGATTGGCCCTTGTTTTGTGTGCTCTATCCCTCTACACTCTCCCCCACTCCCCCCCCAAACTCTCTCCCCCACACCCCCAACTCTCCCCTCCCCCCCCACTCACCCCGAACCCCCTCGCTCATCCCACCCCCGCTTCCGCCCCTTTCCCCCCTTTTTCACAGCACAAGGACCAGGTGGCGCACCTGCAGGCGACCCTCTCCTCCCTGCGCCACGCGCTGGACAAGGAGCGTGACTCCAACACACGCCTGCTCAAGGCCCTTCAGGAGGCAGACAAGACGGCGCTGGACCTGGCGTCTGACGCGCAGGGCGTCACCTCGCACGCCAGAGGGTCATGCGCCTCGCCGCCGCCCACAAGGAGCGCATTGGCAAGGCTGCTGCTGCTGGCCGCCGCTGCTGCTGCCGCTGCTGGTTGGTGCTAAGATCAAGTGAGGCGGGAGGAGGCGGGTTTTGTTACGCTGCGGCTAGTTATTCTGGGGAGAGGGTGGCAATAAGGAGCAGTCCGTGCCCACTTGCTCTCCCAACCTTCCCCCACCCACCGCCTCTCTTCTGTTTCCCACTCTCTCTCCCTCACTCCTCTCCCTGCCCTTTTGAACCCCGAGCGCAATGCTTTCACAATCGCCATGCTCCTTGGTTTACGTTGGACCTTGCAATGTATTGATTGGCTCTCCTGTTCTTGTCTAGCTGCATTCTGCTTTGCAATAGGCCTGGTGATGCTCCAGCACATTGTGTGATTGCTGTGTGAGTAGTGAGTGTGTTCCTGTATACACGCCCACTGAGACAATGCCTTAGTACTGACGGCTTGCTTTGTGCTAGACTTTTGTGGTGTATTGCTGTAATATGCTCTATGCTCTTACCTTGTGATGATGCAAATGTACCTGAGGGCGGGTCCGAATAGTTCAATCGGGGTTTTTAGATGCGATTTTACGAAACTGGGTACAAAAACTGAACGATCCCAAAATCGTTGTCCTCCCAAATCGCGTCCCCTATTGCGAACGAAAAAAGAAACCGGCGCCAACTGGATGTGTAGCAAAAAACGGTTCGCCTCAAATGCGCTAGTCGCAGTTACCAAATGTCGCAGCTTGCGAAACAGATATTTCGTGCAAGGTTGGGTGACAGGTGTGATTTTGCGTTGCCACAGGCCGGGCTTGGCGAAAACTCCAAAGCGCCAAACGTGTTCTCCCAACCCAATCGTACACCTGCTGTCACCCGAATCGTAAGCGAATCTTGTCTGGGGTTCATATACCTTCCATGTGTCGAGCGTCCCGAGTTACGGGAAATTCGCGCACTTGTCCTCGCGAAATCCAAACGAAGCTTAAATCGGGTTACTTTTCACGAAATGAATAGTGTATGAACTATATGGACCCGCCCTGAGAGTAGAGGTCAAGTTCAATAACAGTAGCTTTCTTCTTGGAAGCTCTGTTTAAAGCCCGTAGCTAAAATAACAATCAAGATTCCTGTTTGATTTCCTCTTGAAGTTGACATGATTGTTTTTTTAAGCGACTGAACCATACTGAAAATTTTCGTGCAAAAAAAACGGAACCTGGCCGTCGCTGTTTGGCGACACCTCTGCGCAAGAGCCAGGCCGTGAACAGTGAAATTCGCTTCATGCGACGAAATGTTGTGTTTCGGTGAACAGTGGAGGTGCGACGAGAACAGTGACCTTGGGGCGAACTCCACCTGATTCCGCAATAGCAGTCCTCTAAATCACTTGAAAAAACGTCCCTGGATCGCAAGCTGCTCGCACAAACCCGTCGTAGCAATTTCCGTGCGATGTGCACAGTGTTTTGTGGGGATCGCATCAAATTATTCTTGTCGCAACAGAACGCGAAATGAATTTTTTGTCACTCTTCGAATCGGCATCCTCACTTTGAATTCGTTTCGGCCCAATTTTATAGCCCAATAAAAATCTGGTTTGAACCCAAACCTGCCTTCCATTCTATACTCGGACGGATTTCAAGGCACCAAATTCTAGTGGTTTCTGTTAAAATTATATAAGTTATAATTTAATGTAGGCTTGGTAGGTTGTTACTGAACCTTTCTGTAGAGGGTACAATCCCCTCCTTGTACTGCTCTCTCTTTCTAATCCAACTCTCTTCTTTCTCGTCACTTTTGCCTACTCCTATATCTACTTGCCTCACGCCATTCCATGGCGTCCTTCCTTCCTTCCTAGCTAAGCTAGGTTCCTAAGTGTAGTACCTATCCTAAGCTTCTTTGAGATGGTATCAGAGCAGGAGATCCTTCCTGCTGGACCGCCTACTCACGCTTCTCGCGCTGCTATGGCGCTCGTGTCGTGCCGCTGGCCGCGTCGTGCCGCGGTCGTCACGACGCACTGCTGTGGCGTCGCGCTGTCGTGCCGTCGCTTCCGCCGCGCATTTCTCTCGTCACTGCCTTCCCGCCGTGGCGGCCATGCCGGCCTGTCATGGCGGCTTCGTCGTGCGGCCGTCGCCTCCTCGACGCCCTGCCGTGGTGGCGTCGACGCTTTGCCGTGGCAGCGTCACCTTGCTGCCGTTGCAGCGTCGGCGTGCCACCACAGCGTCGACGCCGCGCTCTGGCGGCGTCGTCATGCTGCCGCGGCAGCGTCGATGGGCCGGCAGCGGGCAGCACGCCGTCGTAACCGCCGCCTGCCCGCCTCCTGCCAGTAAGCGCCGCGCCACTTGTGTGCGTGGGCATGACCCTACCAAGCCTAGGGGGTGTGTTAAAATTATATAAGTTATAATTTAATATAGGCTTGGTAGGTTGTTACTGAACCTTTCTGTAGAGGGTACAATCCCCTCCTTGTACTGCTCTCTCTTCCTAATCCAACTCTCTTCTTTCTCGTCACTTTTGCCTACTCCTAGATCTACTTGCCTCACGCCATTCCATGGCGTCCTTCCTTCCTTCCTAGCTAAGCTAGGTTCCTAAGTGTAGTACCTATCCTAAGCTTCTTTGAGAGTTTCTAGGTCCGCTATTTTAGCCTTGGGTTTTAAACAATTGCTTGGAAAGAATACAACACCCTTATACAACCATTTTTGTACAGCCATAGCCCACAACCCCCTATTGGCTGAGGGGAGGTGCACCTAGAGGATTCTTGAGCCGCTCCAACAAACGACTCTTCAGCTTTGGGTTGCGCCTAACTTATTGCCCTTGCTAGCGCTGATAGCAGCAATGCATCAACTCACCTCACCTCACCTCTCAAAAGCACGGATAGGGCCTGTGATGCGCCTCAAGTGCAAAACAGCTGGCCACCTCCTCACTCCACTCCACCCTCGCCAGAGCCCGATGTTGAGCGCTATAAACCCGGCGTATAGCCTCCCATTGTTGATCCGGAGCTCGTTCATCAGGTGGCCCCAGTTCGACTCGAATGAACCCACGAAGTACTAGTCGCACTTGGAGCAATGCGGGCTTTTGAATCCACACAGAAGTCAGTTCACCAGAGGCCTATATTGAGCGCAATGAACCCGGCGTATAGCCTCCCATTGGTGCTTCGGAGCTCGTTGATGAGGCGGCTCCAGTTGGACTCGAGCGACCCCACAAAGTAATCGCACTCGGAGGCGATGAGCGCACTGGCGAGGCTGACTGCCACATCCTGAGAAAACTCGTACGCGCGCGTGTCGTTGGCGTCAAGGGGCAGGCGTGGGTTGGAGGAGTAGAAGAACTGCCAGGTAGGGTACTGCTTGGTCTGCTCTATCACCGACTGGCGGAGGTGGGGGGAGAGGGAGGGGTGTCAAGGTGGGAACACGGGATGGGCGAGTGGGGCCGATTTGAAGTTTCCAGCGGCTTGGGGGAAGATGAGGGTTAGAGGAGCAGTAGAACTACCAGGAAGGGTTCTGCTGAGTGGGAAGAGGTGGGGAGTGGGGAGGGGAGGGGAAGGGAAGGGGGAGGGGGGGGAGATGGGGCGTTCTTTGTGTGCTCTATCGCTGACTAGCTGAATGGTGGAAGACAGGGGCAGTGTGTCATCCTCCCTCCGTCTGCCATCCTCCCTTCACAAACACCCATTCCCACACACTCCCCCACATGCAAATCCCCTTCCCACCCTCTTCCCATCCCCACCCCCCTCCTCCCTACGCCCCCTGCACGCACCTCCATCTCGGTGTTAAGCCACACGTTCTTGAGGTCCGGCACGGCTGCTCTGAGTCTGTGAGTGAAGAACATGTGCATGGCGAAGGACAGCAGCGTCATCTCCTTGAACTTGTCGCTCTGCCGCACGTGCACGCTCACCATCGGCCGCGGCAGGTACACCTCGCCGCCCACCCCCTTCAGCATCCCCTGCACCTCCTTCCTCTTCCACCGCCCCTCCCCGTTCGGCCCGCAGTCAAACGCACACGACTCCATCCCTTTCGCCGGCCACACCTCCCCCTCTAAAGTATTCCCTCCGAATCTCAACTCAGCGAGGGTCTTTGCCTGCACTTTTGCCGCCCCTTCTAGATCCGCCTTTCCGTCCGTGTCTTTCACGAGGAAACGCACCGGGTCCCCTGCAGCTACGAGGCTTAGGATCTCCGCTCGCTCCTCCTCGAACTGAGCCAGGTGCATGGCCGCGTGGAGCCCGTAGGAGGAGTGGCGCACGCGGTTGATGACGTGGCAGAGGTAGGGGGAGGGCCAGCGCAGCATGAAGCGCGTGGCTTGCGCGCGCCACCAGCGCACCTGGGGGCAAGGGGAGTGGGGGGGGGGAGAGAGGGGAGAGAAGGGCGTTTGAGGTGTCTCAATAAAGGGGGTGAAGGTGTGGAGGAAGGCCGGAGTGATCAGCGCAGCATGAAGCGCGACCAGCGGAAGAGGAGGGGGGGGGTGTTGAGTAAGGGGAGGGAAGAGGAGGGGTTGAGAGGAGGAGGGCGTGTGTGTGACGCCTGGATGCCCTGCTTCCTTGTTATTGAACATTGAAGGTTGCAGGGAGTAGCTTGCTCATGTTGCAAGATGCGAGTTCCACCAGCGGCGGAGTGGACCATGCATCACCGGAACGTGCATGCAGCATGGGAAATGGGAGGGAGTGGTGGGACATGCATCATCATGTGGGAAGGGAGGGAGATGGGGATAGCGAACATGCAGCAACGGAACTCATCAGGCGAGAGCAGGATCACTTCCTGCGCCCAGACGCCAGCTGTGGGGTCCTTTTGCATGGAGGAGAAACACGGGCCAACCGGCTGGTCGATCAGCGGGCACATCTGACCAACGACCTGGACCTTTCTGAACAAGAGCATGCTTCACGCTATGTGAAATCATCCTTCTAGGCCTCAACATCTAGAGAGGGCGCTCCCAGGAACAAAAATACTCTCACAGGGACTCTTCGTAGCACACCTCAACATGACTAAACCCTTTGCTCTCTCACCCCCGCCCCTGACCCCCGCCCCTGACCCCGCCCCTCACCCCCGCCCCTCACCCCCGCCCCTTACCCCCGCCCCTCACCCCCGCCCCTCACCCCGCCCCTCACCCCCGCCCCTCACCCCCGCCCCTGACCTCGAGCATCTTGAAGTCGTCGTCCTGCTCCATCCTCCCCATGTACTCCACCATGTCCACCCGGTCCAAGTGCGGCGTGCCCCATAGGCTGCACGCATGCAGGGACACACGCTCACACGCACGCACACACCCGCAAGCATGCACACGTTCATACACGCACACACATGCGCGCACACACACACGCACACACGCACACACACACACCCACACACACCCACACCCACACACATGCACAGCGCACCACACACAGAGGGCGCACGAGTCTATTTCTGAGGTGCCTCAAAAGCAGGCGGACAGAGGGCATGAGGGCACAAGGGCACGAGGGCTGGGAAACATGAAGGTGTGGGTGGGTGGGCAGGGGCTCGCCATCACAACGTGTTGCAAACCTTGCAAGGAGAAATGAAGAACTAAATTTGGGATACCATAAATCAAGCAGCACAGATGGTTCGTCTTCTGAGGCATGGCCCCCCCAAACCTCAAGAAATCCTCCCCTCCTCCCTCCTCTCGTTCATCCTCCATCCTCCCGCCTTCCTTTTTCCCCGTCACCTTTCTCCTTTAGCAAAAGAGCCCCTCTCCCCACTGCTAACCTGCCCCCGCCCCCTTCCTCACCTGTTGCCTCTCTATCCCGCCACCTGAATCCACCTGATTCACGGAATCAGGCCTCTCACGTCGTCCCTCTCACACTCAGCTTCAGCTGATCCACACGCAATAGGCCCACGCACACCACACTCTCTCTACCTCCCCTCCCTGGCCTCCAGCCCACACCCCAACTCTCCCCCCCCAATACTCTTTCCTTCCTCCCAATCCCGCTCCTTCACCTGGTGGCTCTCGACTCCAGCTTGAGTTGGTCCACGCGCAGTGGGTTCACGCACACCACCGTCTCATTGGCCGTCTCGAGGCCACTGTAGTCCACATTGGTGCACTCTGTCAGGTTCTCGCCCCCCGGCGCTGCCATCAGCCGCCGCACCACTGCCTCACACGCAGGGGACACCAAGGGCGCAAAGAAGCACTCCCACGAGCTGTTGTGGCCCGCCGCTGGGGTGTGGGGGAGTAGGGGGAGTGGGGGGAGGGTGGGAAGGGGGGAAGCAGTGGTTGTGGGGGGGTGGTTTGGTGGGCACAGCGGTGCAGGCAGAAAGGTGCCTGCTCCCATCAGCTGCCACACCAACGCTTCGAAGGCGGGGGAGGCCAAGGGCTCGACGAATTGGCGTTTAGGATTGGAGGAGTTGTCTCTGAGGCTTGCTTGGACTGAACGCACTCTCACGCCATTGACCATGGGCGTGGAGAGCCGTTGTGGCACGGCGCTGGGGTGGGAATGGGGGAAGGTGGGAAGGGGGAAGGGGGAAGGTGGGAAGGGGGAAGGTGGGGAAGGGGGAAACCGGGCAGGTTTGCCGGGGTTACGTAAGCATGCACCGTGTGTTTCAGTGCTCTTATACCTATGCATGCATGCGCCATGTGTTTCAGTGCACCACACCTATGCATGCGCCATGTGTTTCAGTGCACCACACCTATGCATGCACCATGTGTCTCAGTGCACCACACCTATGCATGCGCCATGTGTCTCAGTGCACCCACACCTGTGCATGCGCCATGTGTTTCAGTGCACCACACCCATGCATGCGCCATGTGTTTCAGTGCATCACACCTATGCATGCGCCATGTGTCTCAGTGCACCCACACCTATGCATGCATGGGCCACGGGCGCCCTTCAATGCACCACAACCTATGCAGTCGGGCGTGTTGGCGTGCTGGTAGGAGTCAGGGTACGGCACGAGCGTGCGGTTGAACGCCATGGATAGACTCAGAAAACAACCCCGTGACATGGATCTGAGGAGTCAATACAGGGGGGGGACAGGGAGACAGAGACGGGAGACAGGAGACAAGACAGGGAGACAGGGAGACAGGGAGGACAGGGAGACAGGGAGACAGGGAGACAGGGAGACAGGGAGACAGGGAGACAGGGAGACAGGGAGACAGGGAGACAGGGAGACAGGGAGACAGGGAGACAGGGAGACAGGGAGACAGGGAGACAGGGAGACAGGGAGACAGGGAGACAGGGAGACAGGGAGACAGGGAGACAGGGAGACAGGGAGACAGGGAGACAGGGAGACAGGGAGACAGGGAGACAGGGAGACAGGGAGACAGGGAGACAGGGAGACAGGGAGACAGGGAGACAGGGAGACAGGGAGACAGGGAGACAGGGAGACAGGAGACAGGGAGACAGGGAGACAGGGAGACAGGGAGACAGGGAGACAGGGAGACAGGGAGACAGGGAGACAGGGAGACAGGGAGACAGGGAGACAGGGGACAGGGAGACAGGGAGACAGGGAGACAGGGAGACAGGGAGACAGGGAGACAGGGAGACAGGGAGACAGGGAGACAGGGAGACAGGGAGACAGGGAGACAGGGAGACAGGGAGACAGGGAGACAGGGAGACAGGGAGACAGGGAGACAGGGAGACAGGGAGACAGGGAGACAGGGAGACAGGGAGACAGGGAGACAGGGAGACAGGGAGACAGGGAGACAGGGAGACAGGGAGACAGGGAGACAGGGAGACAGGGAGACAGGGAGACAGGGAGACAGGGAGACAGGGAGACAGGGAGACAGGGAGACAGGGAGACAGGGAGACAGGGAGACAGGGAGACAGGGAGACAGGGAGACAGGGAGACAGGGAGACAGGGAGACAGGGAGACAGGGAAGAAAGGAGGGGCACAAAAGAAGGGGTGAGAGGAACTGGGGGAGGAGATTGAGAATATATAACTCAACGGCACAACTTGAACTTCAACCCCTGCTGGAATAAGGCGTTTTGGACCCAGTCGCGGCACGTGCATGCATGCGTGCAACTTGTTAGTACTCTCGATCTCTGAAAGGTGGCATGTTATGGCATGGGACAGAAGAACCGTCGTGAATCATACCTGCTACAGCTCCCCCAAGCCTGCTACCTGGTGTACCTGCTACGTTGCAGAAATGAGCATATGGCACACCCTGCAGTCTTTCAGCATTCTTGAGCCGACATTCAGGGCCATCACTCGCCAAAGATAAAGAGGCTGCTAGAACTATGCCGTTTCTAGCTGTGCGAGCATGTGGTAAGAGTGGACCCAGAATACTCACCCCGGACCCACGCTGCGCATCTGCTGTGTGGACCACGGCAGCACCAGCAGCCTCTGCTCTGCCGCTCGCAGAGGTGACTCTTGATTCCAATCAAAAGTCACGTGAGCATGTGCACGAGTATGTGTGGGAGCACCCACTCACCCCGGACCCCACGCCGCGCATCTGCTGTGTGGACCACGGCAGCACCAGCAGCCTCTGCCCCTCGCAATCGCCTGCTGGGAACTGCCGCTCCAGATGTCCCTCTGCGACACGCGCGTCTTGGCTAGGTTCTCCGCCTCCGCCCCCCGCACCTGAGATGAAGGGATGGAGGGGCGGTGGTGGGTGAGGAGACGGGGTCAGTATGAGGAGGCGAGGCGCCGCACGCCGCGACAAAGTGTTAGGGCGGAGGTGGGCAGCGGGGCGATTGCATGTGTGGGAACGGTTGTATGCCAAAAAAGGAGGAGGAAGAGGAGGTGGGTGGTGGACGTTTGGGGAGGGCAAGTTTGATGGTTGGAGTGCGCTATGCTGTGGGGTGGCTTGACGGATGTCACATGCATGCGGCCATGCCATGGCACGGAATCCTGCTCCCGAAGCCTGAAAAACCCGTTAAAGCGGTCATACCCATGCACACCCATGCTGACGCCATACCCATGGAGGCTGCGGGTCACAGTTGCAGCAGTCCTTTGGTCGCGCCCATTCCGGCGACTCCCATTCGCCCCGCGCTGCTCCGCCTCCCGCCGCCGCGCCGAGCGCGCTTCACACTCCTCCAGGTGGGGCGCGGGGGCACGTTGGGCGGAAGGGAGACGTTGGTGGGGGGAGGCGCTGCTCGGGCTTGAGGCCGTACGCGGCCTCCCATTGCTGCGCGCGCACGGGTAGGGGGACGGCGCGGGGAAGACAGCGGAGGCGGAAGCAGAGGGGGGAAGGCGGAGGCGGTTGGGCAAGGGAGAGTCAGTTTGAATGCGCAGAGAGGGAAGGAGTCTAGTGGGAGAGCCAGAGGGAGAGCGTCCGGTAACTAGGCAAACCTACGTTACTAGCTCTTCCGGGGGAGCTTAGCTTAGACACGCGGCAATGTAGAGGGAAAGGGGGGCCGTGTCAACACAATGTAGGATGAAGGTGGTGGAACCACCCCGCCGCTTTCGGGTAGCAGCGTGGAGGATCTGATTCCGAATTGGACCTTATGGGGTATGCATGCGGTGCTCGCTGTGAACGCATTGCTGCTTCTCGGAAGGCAAACACAGCGCGCCTGTTTCGACAGACGAGGCACGCACCCGGAACAGCGACATGCCCCGCTCGAACCCCATGTCGCCCACCAATCCCGACGCGTGGAGCGCATGGCTGGCGCGGACTAGCGCGCCAATGAGCGCGGATTCCAGCAGCAGCAGCACCAGCGCGAGGCGCGCAGACGCGGTTGCCATGGCGCTGACCAGGAGCCGCCGACTCGCCTCGGACGGCGAAAAACCCTCTTGCGTATCTCCTCTATAATTCCTGTGTCTAGGACATTCCTTTCTGGGGTTTCCTCTCTGCTTTCCGAATGGACGTGCGTGAAGGTGCAGCGACGAGCATCGTTAGCATCGCGCAGCCAAGAACGACTTGCTCGACGACTCTCTAGCTTCGGACGCAGCAGAGCCTACCAGTCCTGACATCACTCTCAACCGATCGATGTTTTCTTCAACGTTATCGGCACATCGAGTAGGCTAGAGAACTGCAGAGATGTCCGTGGAGAGCTGTAGAAGTCCGTTCCGCGAGTCGCGGAGAGAAATGGGAATGGCTGAAGTGCCCAAAGTGCCCTGAGAATTTTGTCAGCGAAACACACGTCAACCACCAAGCTGTACATTTCCGAAACTGCAACTTCCGGTGTCGAGAGTCGACAGCAAGTGTTGGTGTTGGGGGTTCAGGGCTTGTTCCGATAAATCCTGAAAGCAGTGGAACACTGGGGTCACGCTCCGTGTCGGGATTTCTTGTCAAATGGTTTACGGCGCCGAGAGCCAACTTGAGAGTTTGAATCATCCTCCTCGACACCACACACGTTGACACGAAATGCCCAAGTGGGCTGGGCATGAAGCCCCAAAAACTGTTTTCCGGGCATTAGGGTGTGGAACATAGATCGGCTTGAGCAAAAAACCAGAACTCGGACCAGTATTTTCCGCCAGATGCGAAACCCCCTGTCAACATTTGCGGAAGGATGTAACCATACTTCAAACCTGTAAACAATCAGGGCATTTCCAATGCGTACGTTTTGGGCTTTGACGGTTTCTAAATGTACTACGCAAACGCCTGAAAAATGTACCGTTAAGTGTAAATACAACGTGCTGGTCCCTGAAACCCATAAGCCCTGTCCAGCGCGAATGCCACCGCGTGGACACGAGCTGCCCATCTATGCGTACACAAGGTGGCACGAAATTGCGAAACCGCTCCAGTTACACGCTACACGGTGATTTCGCCCGGATAATAAAACAAAAACCGCCCAATTCCCTTGGGAGCACCGGGTGTGGCAACCAGCGATCGTGGTCAAGGCCGGAAAAAAGAGGGAACTGTTATGAATTAATCAAAGTAATAACAAGTGGTGTAATAAAGGAGTCGTGATTCAAGAGTGTCGATACAAATGAGGGCCAATGCATGTATAGGCACGAGCAGAGCTAGCCGGGAACCACGCGAACATGTTGGGGCGATTCGGTTGGCGAAAGCCACGGAAGCGCTGCGCGTCAAGGTTTGGGTTCGCAAAGTGGTTAGCGACCGATGAAGTTGGCCGAGCCTGGACTTCCGAGAGTCGAGGGCGTACGCGCTATAGTCGAGCCCAATAAGGAAAAGGGAATTTCCTTGAACTTTGTACCCTATTACGTCCTTAGTGTCAGAAACTAGCTTAGCTAGGAAGCCATAGAATGGCACAAGGTTTAGCTAGGAGCTAGGAGGAGCCATGAGAATGGCGAGAAGGTTTTAGGTGCTAGGAAAGTTGAGGAGAGGAAAAGATGTTGGATTAGAAGAGAGGGGAGTACAAGGAGGGGTTTGTACCCCCTACAGAAAGGTTCAGTAACAACCTACCAAGCCTATATAAATTGTAACTTATATAATTTAACACACCCCCTAGGCTTGGTAGTCACCACACCCACACACACCCACACCCCCTAACCTAGCACCCCCATTCCAGCCACAGTGACAGCGACTCTAGGTCGGTCGACCCCACGGCGCGTGAGGCGGCGACGTCGACCGCAGGGCTGCGGCGGCGACGGCGGCAGGGCGGCAGTGTCGACAGCGGCGGCGGCGGCGTGCGGCTGCGTGGCCCCGACGCAAGCGGCGACAGCGGCGGCGGCGGCGGGCTTCGACACACGGCAGCGGCGGCGGCACCCGCACCTCTCGGTGACGTGGCTGGCCCCGCGACTGGGACGGCCGGCGGGAGTCAGCCGTCGTCTGCGGAATGGAAGAGGGCGCAGGGGAAAGGGGGGGGTGGGGGGGGGGGGCGGCGCCACAGGCTGACATGCGGGCGGCCGGTCTAGCGGCGCCACAAGCGTCACGCGGCCGGCTGCAGCCCGACGACGCCGTCATGGAGCGGCGTCGATGCCGCAGCGGGGCGTCGACGCTGCGACGGCAGCACGACGTCGCTGGTACGCCGACTGCGCGCTGTCGCGTAGACGCCGCGGCAGCGTGACGGCGCCGTCACGTCGCGACAGCATCTTGACGCGACGGCGGAGCTGCGGCACGACGGCGCGGCCACAGCAGCTGGACGCGGGCGCCATGGACGTCGACAGCGGCGCCGCGGCACGACGACGCGGCCACAGCAGCTTGACGCGGCCGCCATGGCAGCGCGAGATAGAGAGAGAAACGAGCACGCAGCGGAAACGCGAGGAGCAGGCCCACACGGAACGAACTGCTCTAATACCATGTCAGAAACTAGCTTAGCTAGGAAGCCATAGAATGGCACAAGGTTTAGCTAGGAGCTAGGAGGAGCCATGAGAATGGCGAGAGGTTTTAGGTGCTAGGAAAGTTGAGGAGAGGAAAAAGATGTTGGATTAGAAGAGAGGGGAGTACAAGGAGGGTTGTACCCCCTACAGAAAGGTTCAGTAACAACCTACCAAGCCTATATAAATTATAACTTATATAATTTTAACACTTAGTACTTGGGATGGGTTCCTGGCTTATCTCACTCTAGTAGGCTTTGAGTAGGTAGACACCGAGCATGGCCATGAAATTTCCTGAAGAGTCATTGCCCACACTGGTCATTGATTGTTGTTCCTCTTAACAGCATGACACTCACAGCTAGGGCCTAAGTATCAGAATAATTGGAATAATGGTAAAGTGAGAGTACACACAAATATATCTAAGTTTTGTATCCTCTAAGAGGTGACTCTATACAGTCTATACAAACATGACAAATACACATGTTTGACACACCCCCTAGACTGCATAGGGGAATACCCTAAACAAGCAGCTCAGGGCGCACTACTAGTCCAACCTCTGAGACAAGGGTCTGAGCGACCGGTCAGAAGGAGTACAGACAAGGCAAGCACAAGAGCAGGGCGGCACTACTAGTCCAGCCACTGGGAGAGGACACAAGTCCAGTCTGAGTATACATATAAAGGACAGTACAAAGTCAAGGTCCTAGCAAGTGAGAGGCTACAGGAACTAGACCAAGCTGTACACAGTGCCGCTGATGATCTTTAGGCGCAAGCGCCTTCGTAAAGATATCAGCCGTGTTGGCACCTGAGGCCAAGTGTACTACGCGAGCCTGACGTCGCTGCTGTAGCTCACGCAGGAGGAAGTACCGCAGCTGAATGTGCTTCGCTCTGCCCTCGAGTCGAGGCTCCTGACACAGGAGGATCATGGCCCTGTTGTCAGCGAACAGGACCGGGGCAGAGCTAGGTCGCTCACCTAAGTCAGTGAGCAAGAAGGTCAGCCAGCGGAGCTCCTGTGCCGCCATGGGCACCGGCGTAGATCTCAGCCTCACAGCTGGACTGTGCAACAGACGAGGAGCGAGTAGCTCTCCACGAGACGGCACCTGAGCCAAGGCTGAAGCAGTAGCCCTGGGTAGACCGGAGTGTCTCAGCGTCGTCTGCCCACGAAGCGTCTGTGTGCCCAGTAAGGACCGCTGGCCTGCGTCCTCCTAGCACTAACCCCATGCCCGATGTACTAGCAAGATAACGCAGAACCCTCTTAGCGGCAGACCAGTGCTGCGGTCGGTGTCTGCCTGTGGCCACAAAGCGAGCCAGGATGCTGAGAGGGTATGCGAGATCTGGGCGAGTGCAAGTCATCAGGTACATGAGGCAACCCACAGCTCTGCGTAGGGGCCGCTGGGCTCTACCAACTCCTCAGGCACTGGAGCGGAGAGCCTGTGGTCTACAGGCAGAGGGGTGGGCTGTGCAGAGGAGAACTGAAGGCTGAACCTCTGAAGGACCTGGCGCACCAAGTGTGACTGAGTCAGGGTGATGGTGCGCGCAGCTCTGTCCCTGGAGATCTGCAAGCCAAGGTAACGGCGCAGTTCTCCAAGGTCAGTGCAGGTGTGTCTCTTCAGCAGCTCTGCCTTCACGGAGGCCAGTGCGTCCCTGTCTGCTGTGGCAAAGACCAGGTCGTCGACGTAAACGAGGATGTAGAACGGAGTCTGGCCAGCACGAACGAAGAGTGAAGGGTCTGCAGAAGACGGAAAGAACTGCAGGTCAGCAAGCGTAGCACGCAGAGTGTCGTGCCACTCACGGGGAGCCTGGCGCAGGCCGTAGACGGGGCGCCGCAGGAGCCACTGGGTCCCAGGAGGGAAGGTGCCAGTAAAGCCCGGAGGGCGGCGCAGGTAGACCTGCTCGTGTAGGCTGCCCTGAAGGAAGGCAGTGGAGAAGTCGAGGGAGTGAAGCTCGTAGTCACGCTGAGCAGCTAGGTGTAACAGAACCCGAAGAGTAGTCATCTTCGGGGTCGGAGCGAAAGTCTGGAAGAAGTCCACCCCCTCGCGCTGACTGAAGCCTCTAGCCACATAGCGCGCCTTGAAGACAGGCGGCTCTCCAGGAGGGCGCTTCACCTTGAAGAGCCAGCGGCCATCGACTACGTTCACCCCAGGTGGGGGAACTGCGTCGACGAAGGTGCCGGTGGATCTCCAAGATGCCATCTCCTGCTCCATGGCAGCTATCCACTGCGAGGCCCAGGGTCCCGAAGTCGCCTCAGCGTAAGTGCGAGGGGTCGGGATGTCGAAAGCGTCTGGGTCACCCTCAGGGACTAGCAGCATGGAACAGAGATGGGGAGCAGCCTCGGAGAGGAAAGCAAGCTCGAACTGGCGGTCCTCCAGGACGTCACTGCCAAGGGCAGGAGCACCCCCGACAGACGGAGGACAGGCAGGGTCAGAGACCAGAGCGGAGGCGTAGTCAAGGCGGCGGGTAGAGGCGAAGTCAGCGACAGCAGCGACAAGGGCGTCAAGGCACGAGACTGGAAAAGACGGGTCGGTAACCAGAGAGGCAAGGACCCGAGGAACGAGAGGACGAGCGGCACGAAGGTAGTCGGACAGCGGGGGGGGCGCAACAACAAGGGAGGACGGAGGAGGCGACGGCAGAAGGGGAGGACGAGACGCGTGTGAACGAAGCAACATAGGGTGGGAGCGCAGGACAGGCGAGGCAGGACGAGCACGGGAGGGACGGTGAGACCAGACGTGCGATGGAGGAGTCGGGTCAGGAGACAGGGGAGGGGACACAGGAGGGGAACGAGGGGGGAGACGGGCCGGGGACGAGTCCGGCGGAGGGAAAACAGGGCCGTAGACAGGAAGAGGAGGAGACGGTCGGGGAGGAACCGACGCAGGGTCGGGGGACGGAAGGCCGAGCAGGCGAAGGGCGGAC